GAAATAGCTTCTAATCAACTAACAACTTCTAACAAACTAATTAAATACTAAACTAAAATCTAAATAACAAACAACCAGCAACGGAATAAAGTATCGTATTCCAGTGATCCAAATTTACAATTTCCCATCATAAGCGGAAATAAACGTGCAAAGCACAGGTAAGGAAGCTCAGAAATCACAGAAATCAGGCCTGTGGATCTGGTGTATTGGTCGGCTATATTACTTTTTGTATAAGCGTTTGTATATTTGACGTGCACAAATTATATGTGAAAGAATACGGGTGATAGAATGGACACCAGCAGAAAAGGCACATACAGGGCAGCCCTTAGCACTAAAGCTCACCTCTGCTCCCTCCGCTTCATAGCAGCTAACTCCGCGCCAGATCCGCCTGCGTCTCCCAATCGCTCTGTGAATGCGCTCCGGATCTGAACCAGTGCCTCGCTGCGAGACTGTTGAAAAATTTGCGACGGTTTCCAACACTCTACCAGTTTTCGGCCAGGATGGAGCCATTAAAACTGTCTGGTCATATCTCATGTCTTATTAGCTAATACTTATATCAGAGTCACGATTAATGGTCATATTTTTTGATAAGAAGAAAACTTTGTGTTATTTTTCTCTTTCTTTGTATCCTTAGCTAGCTAGCTAGCTTGACGGCTGTATGTTAGCAGCTACGCTAACTAGCTTACCAGTGACACTAATGTTATTAAAGACGTGAAATAAATCTTAACTAAGAAAGTGTCTGGGCAACGTAGCTTTCCCAGCTGGCCACCAACGTCAAAAGACATTGATATCTGTTGAATGTTGGTCGTGACGTCGGATGACCAAAATTAAACATACACACAACGTCTAATTCCAATGTCAAATTGATGTAGAATAATGACGACAGCCGACGTTGATATTTTGTTGGATTTAAGGTGTGATGTTCACTAACCAAGATCCAACATCTTCCAAATGTCACATCCCAATGTCATACTGACGAAGAAAACTGACATGCAGTCGTAAGGTATGGTGACCAAAACCTGATGTCTATTTAATGTCATAACCTTAACGTCAGATTGATGTAACATTCTAACATCATTAGACGTTGATATTTTGTTGGATTTAAGGTGTGATGTTCACTAACCAAGATCCAACATCTTCCAAATGTCACATCCCAATGTCATACTGACGAAAAAAACTGACATGCGGTCGTGAGGTATGGTGACCAAAACCCAACGTCTATTTAACATCATTACCTTAACGCCAGATTGACGTAACATTGTAACATCATTAGACGTTGATATTTTGTTGGTTTTAAGTTGTGATGTAAAGTAACCCAAATCCAACGTCTTCCAAACGTCACATCCCAACGTCAGACTGATGTAGAAAACTGACATGCAGTAGTGAGGTATGGTGACCAAAACCCAACGTCTATTTAACGTCATTACCTTAACGTCAGATTGACGTAACATTCTAACATCATTAGACGTTGATATTTTGTTGGTTTTAAGTTGTGATGTAAAGTAACCAAAATCCAACATCTTCCAAACATCACATCACAACCTCATATTGACGTAGAAAACTGACATGCAGTCGTAAGATATGGTGACCAAAACCCAATGTCTATTTAACATCATAACCTTAATGTCAGATTGACGTAACATTCTAACATCGTTAGATGTTGATATTTTGTTGGTTTTAAGGTGTGATATTCACTAACCAAGATCCAACGTCTTCTAAACGTCACATCCCAACGTCATACCGACGTAGAATACTGACATGTAGTCATGAAGTATGGTAACTAAAACGTCTATTTAACGTCATAATCTTAATGTTAATTTGACGTGATATTCTAACATCATTAGACGTTAATATTTTGTTTGTTTAAAATTGTGGTGTCAGGTAACCAAAATCCAACATCTTTCAAACGTCACATGCCAACTTCATATTGACATAGAATACTGACATGCAGTCATGAGTATGGTGAATTCGACATGATATTCTAACATTATTAGAAGTGGATATTTTGTTGGTTTATAATTGCGGTGTCATGTAACCAAAATCCAACGTCTTCCACATGTCTTATGCCAATGTTGGTTTTAGGCCATGGTGTCAGGGTTTTAACCTTCATGAAACAAAATTCTAACATCAATAGACTATGACATGTTGTTGGCTCTAACTCAGACAGCAGACTGTTCCGGGCCGATTCTAGCTTACATCTGTGAGTGTTTGTTGACTTCCAGATAGATATTAGCCAGATGCTGGACAGCTGTGTATGGTTTTAAGTTACATTTACGTTTAAGGGCCAATTCTAGGGTGAATGTTATGGCCGATCAATGTGGATGAAGGAAGAGGGCCACAGCACAATTAAGTTGCAGCAGATTTGTGCTCAGTTGATTTACACCTCAGTACTTTTGACCTATGTCTGACATGTCATAAGTAGCTCACCCAAATAGCAGACAGTTCTGGGCCAATTCTGGCTTACATACCCAAGTGTGGGTCTTAACTTGTATCTACATTTAAGGGCCAATTCTGACATGAATGTTGTGGCCCAACAATGTGGATGAAGGAAGAGGGTCACACCTTTATGCTGCAGCAGATTGGGTGATTTACACCTCAGTACCTTTGACCCTAGTCTGGCATGTCATAAGTGCAACCAGAGTTCACCTTTTGATGGTTAAGACCCTCTTTTAATGAATTTTCCAGCACAAGTTCACCATTTTCATATGGACAAGCTGGCAGCTAGGTTTGAAAAGAAGGCAAATGGAAGAGTAATAATTGAATAATTTCAAATTATAAGGTTCCAGTATGGAAAATGAAAAGTTATAACTAAATTTCTAACAGTACCATTTTAGCATAACACTTGAAAAGCACAGGGTAGCTAGGTTAATGTAATGGCTATCAGCACAAGGTTTAGCTACATTACCCTGAATTGCTAATTCATCATGGCTAATGTTAACTTATTTCTTAGCTAACATTAGCTAACTACTCTGAGCATTTAAAAGGAATAGCCTGTGCTTTTTGAGTGTTTTGCCATACTGGTACAGCGCTTTAGTTTGCAGTTAGGACATTAGCTCAAAGTTAGCACATTAGCTTGGGTCTAGAGCGTTTACTCTGGGCTAGCACATTGTCTTGTGACAGCAGTTGCAGGTCCTCTCATCTGCACACACATCATCCTTCTGTGTAAGTCAGTAGAACTAGAAAACTGTTTAAAAATGCATGCTGTCATTGTTAAAATGAGGCAATATGTCCTGGTTCATATGAGAGTTCACTGCCAGGAGTGCTTTACATTAGTTCGACCTGTAAGTAGCTTAATTTTGATTATGAGTTCCTTAATGTTTGTTAGAACAAAGACTTTCTTGTTGTTACAGATCTTACAGTTGTGGAGTTCTTGCCTCATTATTCAGTTTCTAAAGTAAAACCCATGCCTTCCAGACAAGCTGTTATTGGAGCTCTGTGACTGCTTACAGTGAAACAACTACCAAAGTGACTGAGCATATTCAGTCTGTAGAGGGATCTGTTGGAAATGCTGATTGTGGTGTTATTTCAGATTACTAAGTAAAGGGATTTGTTGTACAGTTTGACACAAAAACTATGTTATCTGGAAATCAGTTAAATAAGTAAATAATAGTTGAATGCATTTCCTCTTTTCTTAGGCATCAGAAAGTGGACAGATTTTGATTTATCCAGCTTTATATTTGTTTACTGTGGGAAAAAAATCCTGTGAATATAATGACTAATGAATTATTGCAGACAGAATCAGAAAACATAGCTGTTTATCAAATTAAACCGCGAAACAGTGTCTCATACACAGTTGGCTTGATCTCATGTATGCATGTATTTTATGAAGGCACACTGAATGGGTTGACACCTATACTTCAGGGACATACACAAATGTTTTTATTCCACAGACCGCTTAAGTATGATATTTTTAGACATGTTTGCCATCTCTGATTTAAAATAAAATGTCTGTGAAATTACATTTGAACAGTGCTCCAAGGTAGATGTCAGATTTAGCCTGTATTTCAGTGGCCTCTCCACTTTGCTCAAGAACGACCTGTCACAAAGGTGAAGCCTTTGTTCCTTCATTCATTTACTGTTTTATTTATTTAACCAGAATCAACATGGAGTTTTCATTCTAAAATGGCTTTTGACACCTATTGATTATTAAGAAGAAATATTACTAATACTAATCACAGATATTACTAATATTTTGCATGATCTGCAATAAATGAATGTGGCATCCCGCAGGGCCACACCTGGCTGGGGACTAAAGTGGGTAGCCAAATGTGGCCCACACCTTTATATGTACTACAGTATACGGGCCAGATCTGGGCCACATTTATTAGTTCTACTCACTTTACAGTATATGGGCCAGAGTTGGGCTACATCTGTTAGTTGTACTAATTTTATAGTGTGTTGGCCTCATCTGGGCCACATCAATTACTACTTCTTGTTTTACAGTATATGGACCAGATCTGGGCTGAGGACCCAGCCAGAACTGGGCCAAAACAAAACTAAATTTGAAAAAAATTTTGCTAACTGGGAAGTCACAGTGTTAACTAACCAAAACCTAACATCTGCTAAACGTCACAGTGCTAAAGTCCTTCTAATGTGGGATACAGACAACTTTAGACCTTGGTATTTTGTGGGATGTCAGTTGTCGTGTTGGGTAAACAAAATCAGTCTGTCAAAATGTCTCATACCAACTTCATACACATACTGCTGTTCAAAAACTTAAATATATTTATACAAACATAAATATCGTTAAAATATGCCATACCAATAAACTGTGACATTACTGCTCTTTTAATAAATGTATCTAATGTATTTTCCTGCTGCATGACACGCACACAACCTCAGGATACGATTCGGTGACAGCACTACAGAGCGACAGAGTGGCATGATTTGACTGATTGGTCACTCAAAATTCAAGTCACAATAGTTGCAGGTGATTGGGTGAGGAGGAGAAGGGCGGGGCGCCGTTTGAAAAACCGCGGACGAGACTGAAGATTGGAACCGAGAGCGATGGGACAGACACACTGACACACTGATACACACACTGGGTAAGTATTCAGTAATTATAATTTATTTGGGTTCTACAGAAATATGTGCTTTACTAAGGTTTAGTCAAGCTAATAAGTTTAGATCGACTAACCTGAAGGTAGGTTTCTGTTACCAGCTAATGCTAGCGCCAAATTAGCCCGGCAGTGTTAGCTAGCATAACTACCACACTGCACTGAGTCAGTGGAGGTAAACTGAGTTTTTGAGGCTCAGGTGGGTTTGTAGTGTGAAGTCGGACCGTCTGAATGAAGCGCAGACAGGCAGGCGGTGCGGGTTGTTTGTGGCAGTGTAAGCTGAAGCTAGCTAGGTTTCCGTTAGCGGCTAATGCTAGCGCCATATCAGCTTGTCAGTGTGAGCCTAGCCAACATCCTGTATCGGAGCGCTGGAGAGAAAACTGGATTTGTGATGCGGGGTTTGTAGTGTGAAGCTGGTCCATTTGGATGGAGCGCAGCCAGACAGGCAGGCAGGTTGTTTGCGCCGTTTTTAAAAGTCACCGACGTGCCTGCAGCGTCTGACCCGTGTTTTACGGACTGGTTGGAAGCTGCTGTTTATTTCAGAGAGAGAGACCTCCGCTCTTTCTTGAGTAAGTTATTTTGAGAGAGAGAGAGAGAGAGAGAGAGACCTCCGCTCTTTCTTGAGTAAGTTATTTTGAGAGAGAGAGAGAGAGACTCGTTCAGAGAGAGAGACCTCCGCTCTTTCTTGAGTAAGTTATTTTGAGAGAGAGAGAGAGAGAGACTCGTTCAGAGAGAGAGACCTCCGCTCTTTCTTGAGTAAGTTATTTTGAGAGAGAGAGAGACTCGTTCAGAGAGAGACCTCCGCTCTTTCTTGAGTAAGTTATTTTGAGAGCATGTTTGCAAGGCGCGTTTATGTCTCAGGGAAAAGGGTTCGTGTATCTTTTGGTCATTCGATTTTCATCTCAAATCCAGTTTTGAAGAACAGGAAAATGGGTCAGCTGTTGTTTTTGGTTCTGTTATTGTCAGTGGAAAATAAAGAAATAGTTTTGATTGACAGTTTCACAAACGTATCATAAAATAATAATAAAAAAACAGAAGAGGAATAAGGGGTCGTATTTTATGTATTTAATTTTAACATTTTCTATCACTTAAACAATAAATAAATAAAATATATCCTATCAGGAAGAAATCTTAAGTGATCTGGGGAAGAGACTCTACAGAACCCCTGCCATTTAGCAGCGAAATCAAAGAGAAAAAATTAGTCATGCTGCCCAGTAATGATGAGAAAAATGAATACTGTGATGTCACATTGTGAGATGTAAACAGCTCTAGACTTACGAATTAAAGCTGTGAGCTGTCCTGTGTGCAGGTTGTTCTTATAATACTGTGGCAGCTGCCACTGGCTCTGGTTTTGGGAGGGAGCTTTAGAGGCGCGTTATGCAGAGCTGCACAGCGGCTCCGCACCAGTAAAAAGGGACGTTGTCGTGGTTTAATGATGTTAATGTTGTTCTGTTAGTCTAAAATGTATGTATGTGTTATTTGTGTTATTCTGTAGCCTCTCCTGTGTCTCCTTCTTTATCAAGACACCTTCATTACGACAGAAAGCCACTCAGTCCTCCGAGTGCAGCACCGACAACCAGCGCCTTCCTTACATTAAACTAAACACTCACTGAGAGAGGAGACTCTGTGTTGGGCTTTAGGTCCTGTTGTGCTGTTTGTTGTGAAGAATTGTTGTTGTGATTAGTTTGTGAAACTGTAAAACAAAGCTAATTTTTGGTGTTTGCACTGACAATAACAAAACCAAAAACGAGAATTGACCCATTTTCCCATTTTTCAATGCTGGTTTTGAAATGACAATCGAATAACCAAAAGATACACAGACTGAAAAGGTTTCTTTTCTTTTTTTATTTATTTTTATTTTTTTGTAGTAGTAATGGTAATGCAGCCCACTTGTGTGCATTTCTGTGATCTATCCCCCCAGGAGCGCCCCTCACGTGATGTCACGGGCAGGTGGGCTTGAAGTAAAAGCCACAGTAATGTTCCAGAGTGAACAGAACAGCACGAAAAAGATCAATAAGGTCAAGATTAATGAGTGCCTTCATTAGATTCTGATGTCGGTAAGTTTACTCTTACATTAACATTTTATCAGGTCCTTAAAACTTGTGGAAATTAAGCACATGGTTGCTTGAAAGTCAACAACACTCAACTTTCAGTTATGTTGTGCAAGCTGGCAGCACAACAATAACCCCTGCTGAATAAAGACCATTAGAACTATTAGGATTAAAACCTAATGGTTTTTGCCCCCTAATGGGAATTAGCTTAATGTTTACCAATAGAGACCAATATTTTCCAAGTGAAGAATTAGAAATGTATTTGGAATCTGTCACTAGATCACCTGTTAAACCGTTAGGATCCTTTACATTATCAACCCATCAAGAAAAGCCAAAACACATTACAAACCCCCAAGAACCAACAGAAACTCTTAATGGTTTTGATGTTTTGTCATCAGGGACATTATAATCCACATTATAATCCATTATTGCACATTAATTTAAATAATGCTTGGTGTGGAGCAGATTGTGTAGTACTGCTGAAAACGCTGCTGATAGCTACCATTAGCAATAATAGGCATTCAGACTGCAAGTTCAAGTCGGGGATCACAAAACCGCGAGACAGTACTCTATACAAATCATAAAAATCTGTACATTTGTGCATAATTTTAAATGCTCATTAAGTAAACATGTAAAAACAGTATTAATTTAGAATGCGTAACGTCTTTACAAATACTGGTGTATTTTCTCCATTGAGTCATATCGATCAATGAGAGAAGCCATTCTGCAGACATATCAGCCAATGAAAGTTAAGGGGGTGTTCCTGATGTGGGCGTTCTCATTTTATGGAAACGCCTTTCATTGCTGTTCGACACTATTGTTTGGATTAGCTTAGAAGTGAGCGGCGGCACTGACCTCCAAAAGTTGTGATTATCAGTATCAGCTGTATTTGTTTTCATTTGTAACATTACAGATATGGTTACAAGTTGCATGTTCCAAGTTCTTATGCACAGTGGGGTTTCTTATTATCATAAGGCATGAATTCTTGTTCTGTTTGATGGCTATTTAAGCAATAGAACACTCAAGGTTGTGTGTTATTGCATAATAACGTCACGGCTATGATTTGAAATACAATTAGATTATCACAGTCGTGATGTTATTCGCTATAACACACAACATTGACTGTTCTATTGCTTTTATACAACAGTTTCTACAAAATAAACAAAAAAAATAAATCAAAGAGTTTCATACTGAATATGCTTTAATACTGACAATACCTTCTGCCAAAAAGTAGTTCTACAACAAATGAGTTGTTGCTATGCAATGGCAATAATTCCCTAGACCAGGGGTTGGCAACGTGGCTCTTTTACTGCCCTGTTGCAACCCCACAGCAGAATTAGATTTGTAGGTAAAAAAAAATAATACTCATTTGCAGGAAAATAAAGCTCTGCTGATCATTCAACACAGTTTAACAATAAATGGTCTTAAACACTAGAGTTAATGTATAACTGCTAATTCACCCTTTCACTCTGAAGATTGGCGCGCATACTGCTGGTCACCATATCAACACAAACAACCTCACCTAGCTAGTAGCTAACGAAACGGCAGAGAGAGAGATTCAAGACGAACATTGATAATTTGGAGATGAATGGACTTGTTTGCAATTATAAACACTCCAGCTGGTTTCCTGATACGTTTAATCTGTAACAAGAAACTGCCAAACACTAAAGTTGCAAAGCTGAAGTCAGTTTCTAATTAAAATTTTCCCGTTCCACCTTAAATGATGCAGCAGTTACATTCTGGTACCTCAGGCATCATTTAAGGTGGAATATGAAAATTTGAACATGAAGCTGGCGAATGAGAAGCGACTTCAGCCTCATTAAAAAATCAAATATTTAGAGACATTTTTCAAAAACTATTCCTTTTGAGGAAAACTTTCCTGCTAGAGATGTGAGAAAAGCGGCTATAGCTGAGCTAAAGCTTAAAGCAGAGCAAATTAAGCATGTGTTTTCGTTTATATTATATTTTTTAGCCTATACTAGGACATTAGCACATACTGAGACATATTTACAGCCAAGATGGTAAAATTGACAAATTGTTGTGGCTCCCAAGGTGTTTTGATTTTTGTCGAAAGGCCAAATGTTGCATAATTGAGTATATGAAACAAATGAGACTGTCTAATATAGTCTAATACATAACCGGTGTATACTGATAAATCAGTGTAATGAGTCAGTTATTAATCTCAGTGTTACTAAACTGTTTTGAGGGATGATTAAACTGAACAGTCTTCTGAGTAGTTTAAATGTTCACAAGTATTAAGCGATAGTGTTGTACTGGACTTCTGCATGCATTTGGCCATGTTACATATAACATTATTAACTAAAAATCATACAGCTACCCACGTTACTGTCAAATTAGCAATACAATAGATTTTGTTATTAGGATATGGGAAATTTTTGGTGAAAGGGTAGTATGGTTATAGAAGCGATAGTGGACTGAAACAGGCCATGAGAGCCAAAATAATGTTGGGAATTTTGTAGTCATTTTTGCATTCATTTGAATAATTAAATTTTTTCATGAAACATTAACATAAGAATTACATTAACTGCCAACCAGTAAGAGTAAGGAACAGTGTGAAATAAAAATTACTGCAGAGATTTTCTCAGATACTCTAATGTATATGTATTCCAAATGTTTTCTGAATACATTACTTTCTTAAGTATTGTAATGCGGGGGTTCTCAACCTTGTCCACCTCAAGGCCCACCTGTTTATCACTAGAAAGCAGGAAGGCCCAAAAGATAACAAAACTGAACAGATTTGCTTAAAAATGTCATTTTTGGGAAATTTTCAGTACAGTGATATGTGGGGGGCTGCTCTTGCAATATGTGATGTATATCAGTGAACATGAAATATATAAACATATTTATATATTTTAGCTGGTGATATAAATATGTAAATTAGCTGGTAAAGGAGTGACATGCACAGTTGCACAGACATACACAGTCCATCTCTTGCTCAAATGTTAGGCGGTTGCACTCATATATGGAATTGTTAAACTTCAGGAAAAAGATGTCAAGTTATTTTCTTTTGCTTTTGTCATGAAAGTCTAACAAAAGCGAGAGCAAAATGGATGCTAACAGGCTAGCCTGCTACCTAGCATTTCGCCTCATCTATGTATTTGAAAGTAAAAAAAAAACCCTTAAAATAAAGCTTTCAGCAGTTAATGAATCATATTTCAGAAATGACAAGTTTCCCCACAGTTATTTCCCACCCAAGTAGTCTGTTTCACTCGGAAATATGTCACGTTAAGAAAAAAAATGTGTTTTGATTTCCAATTCAACTTTAAGAGCATCTGAGTGTGTAGTTACGAGTACCATCTTAATAGGCTGTTAATAATCCTAATTTTCTGCATTGCATATAAGCAGCCCTAGCTTAGGCTATTTACTTACCTGCACCCTATGTCATGGTCCATTACAATGTAATTGGCTCCTCTGATTGTAGTCTATAATCATCATTAGACAAAGACTGATTAGTTTTTCTTTGTCATTGCAGCTTCTGTCAAAAAGTGGTACAGCAAGGATCAGAACATATTTCCTGTGCCATGGCAGACCACCTTTAACAAGCCCCTGGACAGTTTGGCAGTGGAGGCTACACGTCCAATCCAAAACAGTTAGGAGCACAATATTTGTCCAATTTAACAATGTTTTTTTTTCTGTCTCTTTGAAAAAATGTTGTCTTTAGTTGTCTTACTAAAATAAATAAGCAAATGTTTCATTGGTACTTTTTTGTCAGCTGTCTTATTTTGAGAACAATTATGAATATATGATATAATGAATATAATATGTAAGCATGAATTCATGGTTGAAATTAGGTTGAATTCAAGTTGCTGAAGAACGCTGGGTTTTGATGTCAGTCCGCACAGCTTGAAAAAGACGTGTTTTCGAGGAGTCGTTGCTTTGTGTTTTTGTTGTTGTTATTGTTGTTGTTGGTGTTTGTGTGTGTGTTTAAATATTATTATTAATTTTAAAAGGTGACTTTCAGAAAGACGTTAAGGTGGCCACAGCTAGGATGGGGCAGCCATGGCACAGGTGGTAGAGCGGGTTGTTCACTAATCGCAGGGTTGGCAGTTCAATCCCAGACTCTTCCTGTTGGCAACTGTAGTGCACTTGAGCAAGGCACCCAAATGCTCTGTCTGACGTTGGAGGTTGATGTACAGCCAACGCTGGGTTTTGACGTCAGCCTGATTTTCATTTGCAACCAAAATTCAACCTCTGTCCAATGTCGGGGGTTGACGTCAGCCAACGTTGGGTTTTGGCGTCAGCCCGATTTTCATTTTCAACTAAAATTCAGCGTCGGAGGGTTGACGTCAAGCCAACGTTGGGTTTTGGCGTCAGCCCGATTTTCATTTTCAACCAAAATTCAACCTCTGTCCAACTTCAGGGGTTGACGTCAAGCCAACGTTGGGTTTTGGCGTCAGCCCGATTTTCATTTTCAACTAAAATTCAGCGTCGGAGGGTTGACATCAAGCCAACGTTGGGTTTTGGCGTCAGCCCGATTTTCATTTTCAACCAAAATTCAACCTCTGTCCAACTTCAGGGGTTGACGTCAAGCCAACGTTGGGTTTTGGCGTCAGCCCGATTTTCATTTTCAACTAAAATTCAACATCAGTCCAACGCTGGAGTCCAACGTCTGTCTGATGGCAAATTGACGTCCTGTGCCTGCAGGGTTTATAACGTAAGTTAAATTATCGGATGAATGTGAAATTGACATCTTATTAGCCTTATTACAGCTCACCAAACCACAGAGGGTTAATAATTCACTTTCGGAAAACAAAAAAGACGCTGAATGTTAGGTGCTCAATAAATATTGTAATTTACAGTTTTTGAATTGTTTCTGGTTTTACCTGTTTCGTAACTGTTCTTAACTGACTTTTTGTGTTGTGATTGAAGAGTTAATTTATGCAAGTAAAAGAATAATATTCAGTATTGATACAGATTACATGAAAAATTAATTTTACCTTTATCTGATTGTGTAATGCTTAGCATATTTAAAAATAATAATAATTATAATAATTATTATTATTAATATATATATATATTTCACATTGAAAGGATATCAGACATAAATATTCTTTGTAAAGCATCAAGCTTAAAAATTGTGGTTGCTAAGTAAAGTCCACCCTTTTTCCTGTATAATTAATTAAGATGTAAACAAAGTCATTAGAAGGTTTTGGTGTGAAACGCTTCATTCTGGAGAGTCTTATGACATCAACTCTTCACAGTGGTGGTGGATGGAACCAGATGTCTGAACCTCTAAAAGCTCCCTCACAGAAAGTTATTACACCAAATGTTTACACTCCCTGAGACACTGTTTCACCATAGTTTGGAGTAGATTTCAGGTCTAAAACATTTTTAGATCCATTAGAAGGATATGGCAATATGGTCCCAAAATAACCTTTTCAGGTTTCCCACTATTTTACATCAACATTCCATATAAAGAGGACACATGTAGGTTCACTGGTGGTTTTGGACAGTAAATAAAATGGCTATTTGTAGTATTTGAGTTGTAGTCACAGCCACCCATGGTTCCTGTCACCCCCATTGTAAGGAATATGTTTCAGCAAGAGTAAGTTTCTCTACAATTAATAATTTCATGTCAAACCACCAAAGTTTAATTTTATTTCCCAACTCTTCAATTAGACACTTATTAAGAAATACATTTTATTGGTGAAATAATTTTGTATTTCAGGTTCCCTGCTCTGGTCTTAGAGTACCCCTGCTCTGCATATTTTAGTGTTTTCCTTGACATGCATGATGCAGCTAATGTATTTAACAAGACCTGAGCAATGTAGGTGTGTGGGAGGAGAAAAACACTAAAATATACAGAACGGATAGTCCAGGACTATGGTAAATTTAACACAGAGAAACAAACTATCTAGTTATTTCTACTTATAAATAAAACAAAATAAGCATTATTTAGTTTGTAGTTGAATTAAATACTGTCTAGTGTTAGTATAAATTACTTAATTATGTCATGTTAGGAAAAACAAAAACTGCCGGAGGAGATGTGGATCCACGCCAGCAGGAGTGCGGATGCAGGCCGGAGGAGGAGGTGCAGATCTGGGCCGGAGGTGTACGCCTCCGGTCCGGAACTGATCCAAACGTAAAATGAGGATACGAATTTGGGCCATATGAGTAAAGAAATCACTGAGAACTGGGCCAGTGTTGGCCCAAATCCGCAAACCGGATCTGTACCAGTATTGGCCCCCTGTGCAAAAGGACACAGGGCCAGATCCGTTTTACGGACCTTGGCCGGAGCTTTTGGATGATTTATGCCGGATCCGGGCCAGATCATTTTTGCTATCTGGGCACTTAAAAGTTTCCTTCTTATCAAAAATATGACTATTAATCGTGACTCTGATAGCAGTATTAGCTAATAAGACATGAGATGTGACCAACCAGTTTTAATGGCTCCATCCTGGCCAAAATCTGGTAGACCGTTGGAAACCGTTGCGAATTTTTGAACGGTCTCGCGGCGAGGCTCTGGATCAGATCCGCAGCGCATTCACACAGCGATTGGCCATCCGTAACGTTCCCGGATGTGGAGCAAGCGCGCCCCTGTTCCGCAGAGTGACACAGTCGTTACGCTGACTCCGGTGCAGATGCGTAAATGCAGATAGCATAGTCTGCCGGATTTGCGGAGACGCAGGCGGATCAGGTGCGGAGTCAGCTGCTATGTGGGGACTTACGCTGGATCTTTCTTGCCCTGGTCATTTTTAACCGCGACAGCCTGATTTCTGAGCTCCTGCAACCATGGGTGCACTCTGCACGTTTATTTTTGCTTAATTTAATTTAGTAAAATCAACCCCTTATTCAAACGCTGTTTTGTTTGTTTTTTTATTTATTTTATTATTAGTCTGTGAAACTGTAAAATTAAGCTATTTCTTGTTTTTCGACTGACAATAACAATCAAAAACGAGAACTGGTGTTGGAGAATTGGTGTTCTGATGTTGTTCGAGTCTACCACGTCGGTCCAAAATTTCCCATATGTGTTGGTTTGAGATTTGGTAACTGTGAAGGCCATAGTGTATGAGATCAGTTTCTTACTCACCAAAGTATTCATTGACTCCTTGTGCCTTATTAATGGGAGTGTCATCCTGGAAGGGACCATTCACACCAAGATAAAAATGTTTTATCATAGGTAAAGGTGATCAGTCACAGAAGCTTTGTATTGATATGCATTGACCCAAACCATGCCAGCAAAATGCCCCCTACAGCAACAGAGCCATCAGATTCCCTTCCTGTTGGGGTCAGTCTTTGTATTGAGGGGTTTAAGCACTGCAATCCTACTACGAGATTCCTTTCTATGTAGCCTTGGACTGGACTGTTTTTGCTGACCCAGTTTAATCACATCCTCAGTCACCTGATCAGTTTTTCATATATCTAGTTGCAGATGTCTCTAGTCACTATTCCAATTAAAACACTAACCAGTTGAGCAGTCTTTGTGATTGAAGCCATCTGTACCCTAATAAAGAACACTCTTTCATCTTTCATTTCTTTTGCCATCTTGATCCAAAATCAAGATAAACTGGGCCTGCTAGGCATGCCACAGAGCATGGTAGGATGTTAATTGAGTCATGCAGTACAGCATCTTTATAAGTTCCTCCATTCAGTTTTCCATTAATTTGTCACCAACTCATGTATATTCAGGGATTTGGAGAAATAAAATACACCATGTGTTCAGTATATTCTGCCCTAATGCTACTACTATCAAAAATGCTTTTTTGTCAGTTAAGATCATCAAGTTCATCATACAAACAGAACATGTAAATGGATGGTTCTGAAAAGGAATATTCCAATGTCTTCACATTTCAAATACTCCAATGAATTAATTAATAATGGAATTACAACAATCTTGTTGTGAAGTTTTCCATATAAAAATGCTAACAATACAATGATCTCGCCTTTCTATGCAAACAGAAGCACCCCTTTAATGTGAGACAATTTGTTTAGCTCTATTCAGAATCTTTTTCTTATACTATGTATTTGATACTTCTAAATTAGGCAACAAATGAGCTTCCTGTGGCAAATTTTATGTTTGTAGTGTCAGTAGAAATGCATTTTTCCTTCTCACATCTTGTTTTTACACATTATACATACTCGAATCATCAACAGATTAACACCCCCAGGCCCCCAAGACGTCCTCATTAAGACAGATCCCATGCTGAAGGTGTATCCTCAAGATTTTTTCTGTCAACCATATGGACAATTTTGACTCTCTGTTCTCCACTGGCAGAACATATGTAGGTGTGCGCATGTAAGCATACACATTATTTAATTCCAGAAAAGAAAATGTGGTTCTACATAGTGATATTGGTTGGATACAAAATGTGTTCTATAGTGCAGTGTGGCATTTCTGTTTCTATCTCAGAATTTGTACTTCAAAATGCCATTTTCTATGGCTACACCAAGAGGTTTTCCCTTTAACTATATATTATTCATTATTAGGCCCTGTACATGGTTACTGTTTCACTCAGTTATGTATATTGTAAGTACTTGGCACTTTCAGGAGCTATTCATAACCTTGTCATAGCCTGCCATGCTGGAAAAGCGAAAAATACATACATACATACATACATACATAAAAAAATTATATTTGTATTTTCATCACGTATCATTAGCAACCCCAAAATTCATCGAGTTTATTAGTTAAAACATCAGTTCACTTGTGCAATGGCAGTTTCAACAATGGCTTTGTTTGAAAAGAGGCCTGTAATGACAGTCACAAAATACTCAACTGAATGGTGTCCCATAGTTTGAGTTAGAGAACATTTTATGTGCCAGGTATGCATAGTGTGATGTGAGTTTAAAAAAGATATGAATCTTTTTTTTTAGGGCTTAAAAAGATATGAATTGTCCCCACCCCATATAATCCTTTCTTAAAGATTAGAATTTTTTTGTAAAAGTGCCACTTTCGAGAAATTACTTTTAAATGGTTATTTTTCTTAAGTTGTTGCTCACTTAAATGCCAGCCAGCCAAGAATCCTGCCAGATGGCAATTCAGAGCCTCATCAGAGCACATTACATTGTCACATTACATTGTCAAATTATAAGTGAAACGGGCAATGTCCCTCCCTGTTTTGCTTAGAAAAATAGTTTCCCTTCTTATGTCTCCGCTGAATAAGACTTCACTATATTTCTGTTGGCAACGACTGACCAATACATATGTAAACCCCCTATTTAGGTTATCATATACAAATATTTATATAAAATTTTTACAACACAAATTGCACCATTTTTCGCTGTACAAGAGCAGTTAGAACTCTACATTGAATGAATCACAACTCAACAAACAATGATGTTGCCTAGGCAAAAGAAAATACATAAACAAACAAACAAACAAATAAATAATTCATCAACATAACAAAAGGCTTTTGGCAATTTTGGCAATTTTTCATATCAAAGATAAAGCTTATGTTCAGTATCAATAGCCATGAAAACAAAACTGCTATGGACCACTTTTATTTACAGACAGCTAAAATCTCTGATAGATCCATGCTCCACTTCACAACCTGAATTTGTCTTTTAAAGTGCATGCAATAATACCAGTAAGGAGTCTGACAGAATTGATTGATTGTAATAAATTCACACCCTGATAAAACTAATGCCAATTAATTTAGGATACTGAACAATGAATAAATTATATCATTTAGACTTTTTTTTTTTACCTTTTTCAAAAAAAAGGCGTTCTACCACGATATGAAGAAACCGAATGCTCTCAGTATATTCACTATATTTTAAAATCAGACATTGTTTCAAAACCTGCTTTTGCATACAGCTTTCGTCAACAGAATTCACATTCGCTGTGATAAACAAAGACAAAACAGCTAATAGCCACGGTGAAGACAGAGGACACATTCTACAGTCGCAATGTCCTTTGATAACACCAAAGGCATTTTTTGCACAATATGTTCACTTTACATGTTGGGTTCATACTTAAACATATCAAAGTGCTTACTTGTACTAAAATATCCTGAATTACTGATTTTATACCAAAAGTGGGTCAACGGCATGGAGAAAAGGTCAGTTTGTCTAGATTGATCCCTTTTGCTTTTTGCGCTCCAAAGTCACTCTTGTTGGTAGCTGGTTACTTTCTTAACAATTTCAGAGAGCTTCCCCCAGCCAGTAAGACTGATCCAGCATAGTCACTGTAAAGGTGATCTTGGTTAAATCCAACAGTCAGGGACAGAACAGGCACAATGCATCCACAGACATCAGCACTGTATGGTCACGTCAGCCTGGGTTCGATCATCTGTCGTCCTCCTTGGGAAAGTCAAACGAGGCTAAGCTTCCAAATCCTAGTCGGGCACTCTCTGCGTCAAATGTCTCCAATTCCCGCTCTTGGCGCTCAAATAAATGCTTGATTTTTTCTGTCCGTTCTTTCTGAAGTGAAGCCAGCTCCTCTTCAATCTGCAATTAAAATAAAGTGGATTTTTCAATCACATCTTTTTTTTTTATGAAAATTTTCTTAGCTAGGGGCAAAGCCCACAGTAAGCCCATGTAAATCTAAATCTAAATAAACATATTTCTCATATATACTTTTGAGATTTTAGCGACATATAATGACATGAAAGACAAACCTCTCTTTTAACATAAGCAAGTTTTATATGATTTATTTAACAAACTATTAACATACTAACACTTTCCTTGTTTCTCCCACAGAATACTAAAAAAAAAAATCCTGATGACTTGACCATGTGTTCAGGACAGTTCTCATTGAAACAAATGTCACACTAAAAGAATTAAACTGAGATGGAATGAGATGTGCAGTATTTTTTTTCTATTATATTTTCTACTCTAAATTTTATGTCAACCTGAAATAAAAACCGAGCATTTTTTACCTTTTAGTTCTTGTCCTGGTCATATTTACTTCAATTTGTCACATCAAAAAGACAAAATATCCTCACTGATACCATGTTTAACTCATAATACACAGTCAGGTCCATAAATATTTAGACAGCAATAATTTTTGTAATTTTGCCTGTTTACCACCACAATTGATTTGAAATGAAACAGTCAAGATGTGATTGAAGTGTAGACTTTCAGCTTTAATTCCAGGGGTTTAACAAAAACATTGCATTTACTGTTTAGGAATTACAGCCATTTTTCAGACAGTCTCTTCATTTTCACACGTTCAAAATTAATTGGACAAACAAACAGTTATAAATAGAAGGATTATTTTCAATGCTTGGATGCAAATTCTTTGCGGTCAATGACTGCCTGAAGTCTGTAACCTATTGACATCACCAAATGCTGAGTTTCCTCCCTTGGATGCTTTGCCAGACCTTTACTGCGGCCGTCTTGCTGCTTGTTTGTGGGGCTTTTGCCTTCAGTTTCGTCCTCAGTAAGTGAAAAGCATGCTCAATTGGGCTGAGGTCACTTGACTGACTCTGCCATTTAAGAACATTCCATTTCTTTGCCTTAAGAAGTTTTCTGGGTGCTTTCACACCATGTTTTGGCTCATGATATATCTGTACTGTGAAGCGTTATCTTGTCAGTTTTGCAGCATTTGACTGAATCTGAGCAAAGTATAGCTCTATACACTTTAGAATTCATTCTGTTACTTCTGTCAGCAGTCACATCATCAATAAACACCAGTGACCCAGTTCAATTAGCAGCCATACACGCCCACACCATAATACTGCCTCTACTATGTTTGACAGATGATGTAGTATGCTTTTAACCATGAGTCCTTCCTTTCTTTCTCAATATTCTTCTTTTCCCATCATTCCCACTCTGTCCAAAGAATCTTGTTCCAGAACAGGGCAGGATTTTAGACGTTTCTAGCAAAGTCTAATCTGGTCTTTCTGTTCATGAGTGTTACAAGTGGTGCAATCACGCACTTTAGTTGTCTTCTGTGGTCTTCTAGGCCTTTTGGTGTTGCTGAGCTTGCCAGTGCATTCTTTCTTTTAAAGAATCTTTCAAATTGTTGGTGTAGCCACTCCTAAAGTTTCTGCTATCTCTCTGAAAGGTTTGTTTTGGTTTTTCAATCTAATGATGGCCCCCCTTCACTTGCATCAACACCTCGTTAAACAAATGGGTTGTCCTACAACAGTTTCAGCTTCTGATCTGAGATGTCAGCCAATGTAGTAAGAAATCTTGTTCTTCATTCATAAAACCAGGGTTGTAGGACAGCTGATCCATTTTACTTCATTTTGAACTTGAGTTCTTACCATGCTAAATTGTATACCATCAACCTTGCTGATCACAAGGACAGGACCGATCACAGCCTTACTGATCAAAGAGGCAACAAAAAAAGTTTCTATAGATCATACTTTACATTCACTACTTAAAGTTATAAACTCACAAGAATGCCCCACCACTCTGAATTTATACTCGCAACTGACTGGCTGCTTCAAGAACCATGTACGAAAAAGACGAGGCCTTCATGTTATAAAAAAAAACAGTAGCACACGAAGGCATTAGGTGAGGCCCAAAATGCTGTCACTTAAATCTCCTGTGTGGAGATCCCATGAAGCAGACCCCAACATGTTGAGACACCTCCAGTACAGTGGGCTTTTAGACCCTTTGGGGGAGCCTTTCCAGCAGAGATTTAAGCTAAAGAAATAGCCTCGACTATTCAATGAGACAACTTCTCTGTGGACACCGCCTTCCCCTGGACTTTCTTACCAAAACAGACGAACAGTTGGTCACAATTAGTGTGTCGCCAGGCACGGGTCCTTTCTGCATAAGCAAGGAGCATCTGGAACAGGCAGTTTATGCAAGCGCACCTCTTCTGAATGAAAAGAGGGGAATGAAAAGTCAGTTAAATCATCATGTAGCATGATGCATCTCATGTCAGCAGGGAATTATAGGCATGACACATGAACAGATAAAGCAACTCCTTTTATGGAAATGAGAGCCAAGAGCAAAGCAGTTTTAGGTGAAAGGTGCTTTTTTGTTGGTCGAATCTATAGGTACCAAAGGCGGGACAGATAGAACAGACTGATGACCAAGCTGTGCCCGTGCGCTGCATGCACGTGAATAAAACTTGGAATCTGCAGATCCAGTCTACTGATTCTTTCTGCCAAATTTCTCATATAGTGAAACCAAGGGGAAAGCATATTGGAGCATCCTGGGCCATAGATGGGCCAGGGCATCATGACCCAGAAGAGAGCGGTCATTCTGAATCAAATACCATAAAAGGTAATGCCCTGCATGTTGCAAGGTGAAGAGATTGATGTGCGCACGCCTGAACTGGGCCCAAATCTGCTCCATGACATGTGGGTTAACACACCGCCCCTTGACATTAGATGAGCCCCTCCATTTAGTTGACCTGGGATATGTGCAGCACTCAGAGAGATGGTACCTTGCACCAGCAAGTGAATGCTGACTTGGCAATTGATACAGGCTAATGTAAGAGCATGGCTGGGTTGCCTGTGTGAAGTAGAAAATTGTGCCCTGTTATCCAGTAGGTGATGCTTTAGAGAGAAGCAAAGGGCTTCCAGCTCTAGTACATTTAAGTGTTGCACCTCACGCACTTCCAACCTCCCTTTCGCTATGCAACCCTCACATACTGTGTCTTCTAAAATAAATAAATAAAATAAAATCTTCTGACTCATCCATGACACCACACTGGAACAGCACTGTGCCGTGACCCCAAGGTTGGGGTTGTCGGTCCACCTTCGAGTACACACACTGGCTGATGAACCACCTTTGGAAAGATCTTATGCGAAATAAGCCCAGAGGCACTACTGCTGTTGCTGCTGCCATCAGACCAAGCTGTACCATTACTTTGCAAGCACTGATGGTCCGACTTTGATATATCAGGTGGCCTGTTTCCATAATGCGTTTCTGCCTGGCAACAGAAAGGCATGCACGCAAACAGAATTTAGATTGAGACCCAAGAAACTCATTGTAGACGAGCAACAAGGCAATGCTTTTCCCAATGTATTAAAAACCCCAATGTGCGTAAATGCTTGATCGCTGTTTATGTATGCACTCTGGCCAATTCCTTTAATATACAGGGTAATTCAAAAAGATTCATCCAATTTCAAAATGATTTATTTCACTTGTGAATCATTACAGAACAATGCAGTGAATTGTAAATGGTTTAAGTGAGCATAAAGTTTAATATGTAATTTTACAATTATGACAAATTTTGCAAAGTATGACCCCGTCCAGCTGTACGGACAACATCAGCACCATCATCAAATTCATCCCATACTCGATTTAGCATGTTGGGTGTCACGGTACTCATGGCTCTTTCAATGCGATTTCGGAAATCACCCAGTGTTGTGGAACCAACAACGAACGCTCTGAGCTGTTGGAGGTTCACTGCCGATGAAAATCATGTTGCACAGTTATCACGGATTCACTCTTTTTGAAGTGGAGAACGCAAACCCCTTTCTGCTCAGGGGTCGCCATCTCCTCATAGACTGAAGGAAGCCATCTTGAGACAGAAACTCTATGACTCCCTCTTTCAACGGGTATGTGATTGGTTCCTAGGCATCTCACGGTAGGAAGAATATGGTGCTTTGAAATCGGATTAATCTTTTTGAATCACCCTGTAATATTCATTTCTGTATTTAATATAATACAGTCGTCAAGGTAGCATAGTATGTATGCATACTGTAAAAAAGGCTTAATGCAAGGCCAATCAGAAGATCGCAAAATTCAAAAACTTCTCCCTGAAAAGCAAACCTGAGATACTTTGGGTGACTCCCTACCATGGTAATGTGAAAAAACGCATCCTTCACATTTACAGTGGTGAAATAATCCACTTGTCTGATTGATCTGAAGAGACGACAATGTGTCAGCATTCAAAAGGCAGAACAGCATTTTGCTCTGCATCCTGAGATCTTGGACTGGCCTCAGATGTCCCTCTTTTTTGAGAATTAGAAAGTATCGCTGGTAAACCCTGTCTGCCTTTTTCTGACAGGGGGCATGTCTTCTGCTTTAGATAAGGCTAGAGTTGGTACATTTGTTTGTGTGACACCAGCAAACCCTTGAGGGCTGCTGGTGAACTGCAGGACATAGGCTTTTTGAATGATACGTAGAATCCAGGGAGAAAGGGGAGGGAGCACACAAGCATTTCCACACTTTCCACTTTTGAGATAGGCTTACTCTCATTTCTGAGTTGGTAAAGACTGTATGCTTATTCGGGTGAATTATTGATGCTACTGAATGCTTTGATGCTTCTGCAGCTATTTGCTTGGGACTGACTGAATGGGTTGCATGTTGGTGTACAACAGAAGCAGATTCCTGGACACCATGGCTCTGTCCCAGCCTTATAAGTGGCAAAACTGTACTGTAAACTGTCTGTACTGGTCATGGAGCTGAATGGACAAAGGAATTGCAGGGCACTGTGACATTTTGAAAAGCCTAGTTTTGCCAACATTATGGGAATAATAAAATGTGTGCTTGGTGTGTACATGAGCTTTCCAGCTTTCTCTGGCAAGGGACGCTGTAACACTGATATGGTGTCTGCATAAGCTTTATAAGCTTCAAGTATTCAGAAGCGCTGCCTTCCCTCTTCACTGTGTGTCTCATTTTTGCCCCTGCTCATGCATGCAACATGTTGGGGCTGCAGACAGAAGAGGTAGCAATGGCAACTTCTGCCTCATGTAGGTGGGGGCGACGGCTGCCTCCTCTTTGGCTGCTGGGGGGCTCTCTTGCTCCCTTGTCACACTTAACGAGCAATAGTGGGGTTTAGGTGCGGGTGCTGGATGGCCGGAGGCTAGGGAAAGGAGGATTGAGTGCAGGACCGACAGTCCTTCTGCTGCATCTAGACATTTATGGGTGATGTTTTGTACAACAGGCCCAAACAAGCCAAAGACCATTAAGGGACCACTGTGGAGAAGGTTTTTCTCCCTCTCATTCATTGCATTAGCATAAGCCGTAAGTGTCATTGAGTGATGACTGAAAACCCTATGATCCTGCCTGCATCCGGGCCATGCAGCTAAGCATGTGCAGGGAAAAATCAGTAGCCTTCCACAGCTCTGTGTAAGTTTCTGAGTTGGCTTGACCTTTTAGGTCCTGAAGCAGGCAGGTCTGATATGCTCTGAGCTTAGCTATGTTGTTCAACATGGTTGCTGAAAGCCCAGCTGTTTTATAAGATTTTCAGTTAACGTGGCCGTAAGCCTGCATGCCTTGGTTGAAAGCTGAGGCAGACAGGTACCGAGCTTCAAAGATAACCAGGTAACCAAGATCCAGTTCTGTGTCAGTGGTAGACCATGCCTGAAAGGCTTGGATGGGTGAGAATTTACACCAACGAACTCTGAAGAGGTTTCTCCCATGATTGTCTCAACTCCATGGCGATGTCCGGACAGCAAAGGAGAGGTCTAAGAGGCAAGGGGTTGGTAATAGCCGGTACCCGCTAACATGGATATGGGAACAGATGGAGGATTTAGCCATGCCAGGCCCAGCTTTTCCACCATCCTAGCCAAAATGTCCTTAAGTTCCTTATTGTATTGGTCTTGTATGGTATAACACTCTGCATTCCTATTTCAGCATCCTCTAACTTCTTCATCCTCCTTTCCACTCTCTCACTGACGAGTGGAACTGAACCAACTTAATGTGTCCTTCAGGGAGTCCTTCAAGCTGCATGCCCAAAGGCTGTAGGGGAGGAAAATCGCAGGCCGATTTTCCAACAGTAGGCTCCAGTGGTGCTGTACTGCATGGCCTGGACTGGAGGATTTCATCCTGTCAAAGACTTTTGGCGGAGGGCTGTGGGCAGGAAGCTGGAACAGTAAAATGAGTCGACTAACGTGTTCCAAACCCAAACATTCGACAAATTCCTTGTGCTGATCCACTTTCGGCAAGTGCTTACTATAGGTGGAGCAAGTCTTTGTAAATTTCTCCTCAGCTGACGAAGAGATGTTACCGTGTTCACCTACGACAGAGCTTGCAAGCTAGCGTGTGTGGTGAGTGGCAGAGCTGACCCAGGCCACACGATGCCAGATGAAAATGAGTAAAAATTAGTAAAAACTTAGTAAAAAAAAATAGCATGAATAGTATTCTGTACTACTGGAGAAGCACTGAGTAGAAAAACCTAAAAAGAAATGCTGAATTACAGTAACAGGTGGCAAATAACGCTGTGCAGTGGTACAGTTGAATAAGCAAGAATGCTGTTGTTAGGTAATGCAGGGATTATTAGAGACCTTAAAAGGGGAGGGCCCAACGCCACTGCCATGGGCCAATCCCTGTCTGCCTAAGGCCAAGAAGTCACTTGGGTGGTGGAAAAGTTTAAACTTACTCAGTGGTGCTGCCTGAAGACAGCGTTATAGCATAAGAACTTGAGTTCAAAATTAAGTAAAACTGCATATTGAGAGTTCCCATGAGCAGCTACCAAATGCATATTTAACGCATGGAATCACCTCCAGACCTTCAATCTCCTTAAGTTGTCATGAAATAACAAGGAAACAGGCAATGAAACTGCTTATCAGCCAACTGTCCAATCACTTTTAAGCCTGTGAAAATAGACAGGCTAAATAAAAATGCCTGTAATTCCCAAACAGTTAATGCAATATTTCTGTTAAACCCCTTAAATTAAAACTGAAAGCCTACACTTCAATCACATCTTGACTGCTTCATTGTGGTGGTGTACAGATGCAAAATTACAAAAATTGTGTCACAGTCTAAATACTTATGGCCTGACTATATATCATGGTACAAAAGGAAAATGTATTAGGATTTTCAATACATGTGACAATAAAATACTTCATGAAGTGCAAGGGTATGTGGATTTACTGGGTACTTTTCTCTATATATTGTCTAAAAAATGTCAACTCTATGATAATTGACACGCTTGGTAAGGATGATTAAAAAATGTCATCAGAAAATGCCTTAGGTTACCTAGGTCTCATACTGAAGACGTGAGAAAAAAACCTATTGACTTTTGGTCTGAATTTAGTCCCATGTGTCAAACACGAGGCATGCGGGCCAAGTCAGGCCCCTGGCGCAATCCTATTCGGCCCGCAAAATTATTTTAATTTTCTATTAACATTAGCCCATTTCACCATGAACTGCACTACAGTTCCCAGCATGCACTGCAACCTTTTTTGAGTTACCACGTCACCCTTGCACAAAAGTACTACATGCAATCTTCAATTGTCAACAGAACAGTGGGGAAAGCTCCTATAATGCTTTATGAGATTGGAGAATATAGAGAAAGGAATCAAAGACCACTCATCAATACAGAATTTCTCCAGGTCCTCTAGGGTCCTTTCGTTTGGACTCTCCTTTTTAGCTCACCCCTCAGGGGTTTAAATCAGCGGACTGGGATGGCCCGATCAAAAGCTTAATTCTGTGGTCACTGATCTGGGTGGTATGTTCTGAATCAATGTCTTGCTGAAAGACCCCCCCCCCTTAAATGTTTGTTGCCAAAAAGCTCTGTTTGTCCCATCTGACCATAGAACCTGGATCCAAAAGCATCTAGTAAATTCCAGGCTTTTTTATGTTTACAGTTAGATGAAAGAAAAGGTTTTCTTCTGTCACACCTTCCAAATTGTTTGCTGGCATGAAGTGGCATCTAAATGCTTCTTAGTGACACCAAAATGCACCATCTGCGACTGTCTAAACATCCTTGGAGAATTTTTTGCCTACCAAATCTTCTCACCGTGTTCGTGTTTGGGGGTAAAATATAGGTGTCCACTTCCAAGCTGGTTCTCTATAGCCCTGGTTGTTTTAAACTTCTCAATTATTGCCCTAACAGTGGACATGGGCCTTTTCAGGCATGCAGCTATGTTTTCATAGCCACTGCCTGATTCATTTTCAGGCAGTGGCTATAAATGCATTGCCTGAAAATGAATAGTCAGCGGCAATGGCTTTACTCAGGTGGACTTAAAAATATTTTTTTGATAAAGATCTTTCTCATATTTTCAGGCAGAGTTTGTGATAATTAACCATTAAATTTTTTCATGACCTTGTTTTTGCCCATCTTTACAAAGGGTGGCAATAATTTTGGTGCTGACTGTAACAACATAGTAGCCTTCAAAAGGTAGGACATCTTTTAGCTCAGTTCAAACTCAACAGGAGTAATGCAGTCTTGGTTCATGGAATGGTACAATTAAAAATAGGAAAAAGTGGTGAGTCCCTGGGAAAAAAATATTCAACACCTACCATAAGCAATAAAATGTCATTGCTCCCCCTACCACCCATTGTGGTTATCTAGTGTGCTATACTAACTCACTGCCCTGCACACAGCAGACTTGGGTTCAGATCCCCAGCCAGGCAAGTACACCACACTATACCAGTAAGAGTCCTTGAGCATAACTTCTGACACTATGTTTTCATGGTTAAATGAGAAGGATCTGGCTGCAGACATGCACTGCCAACCTATTAATGACGTCAGTGCACTCTCTGCCACGACAGCTGTTGTTGCCCAACTACGTACTGTTGGGCAACAAGAGTTACACTGAACATATATTAACATTGTCATACCGATAATAAGGTAATTAAATGGAAAAACTGGAAACTTTTAAAATAAAACGATAAGACACGAATGTCCGGTTTATTCACAGAAAAAAAAAAACAAACAGGCTACTGCTGACCCTAATAAAAGCCATGCTGAAGACAATTAGAACCGTTAGGAATAAAACCTGATGGTTTTGCTTCCTAACGGAAATTGGCTTGATGGTTACCATTAGAGTCTTTACGAAAAGAACAAATGTATCTAGACTCAGTCCCAGAACACCTGATTAAATGATTCAAATCCTTTACACTGTGATATCAACCCATCAGGAAAACACAGAATACCATTAGCGGCTATTGAAAACCAGCAAGAACCAACAGACACTTTTAATGGGTTCTACGACTTTTTCAACAGGGAGGTACAAGTAAATGGAATTTTCTGGCTATGTTATGGACGAAAATGGATTAAGTGAAGATACTGCTAAGCAGAAGCAGCGAAAAGGTAACGTGCCGTTGGGCCGCTTCTGCCTTTGTGGCAGAGTGTACATGTGTACGTAACGTCACTGGACAGAGAGTGCATCTCTGCAGCCAGACTCTGTTGATTAGATGTTAGATGAATCTGAACCTACATATTTCAGCACTCAACATAAAACAATCAGCCTCACTTTCTGTTCCAAGTGAGCCCTGCGCAAGGACACCTTCTGCTCCAACTTCTGCACCTCCCGCTCGTGCTGGGCCTCAGTCTGCGCCTTCGTCTTGCTTTGGTAGGCGTCCAGAAGCTCCATCTCTTGCTGCAACTGCCGCTTCAAGGCCTGGCACTCTGCCTCCTGCTCAGCATCCAGACGTAGCTACGAGGTAACCACACAGTGATTATTAAGCACAATACAGTCCTTAGGCTGACAGGATATTAGCATTTTTTACTGCCATCAGTCACTGGTGTAAAACATATTTTTATGCTTTATTTTTTTGGGACCAGAAGACAATTCTGCTGGTTAAATTAAAAATAAAACATTAAGTATAAGTAAAGCATACTTCCAGATTTCCTACAGAAAACCTTAATCAAAAGTTAAGATGGAGACAAATTCGTACTCCACATCGAAAGTCAATGTGAGATTTGTGTTTACAGATAGTGCTGGGGTATAATTAACACCAGTTACATGTGACATGCTTGTGGCCTTTAACCACTACAGCACTACCTCATCTTCGTCAGTATGTAAAGAGCACAAGTCTCTTACCGACTGTGAGGCCATCATTTCATTAATGCTCTGCTCATACTGTTCTGCCAACACTGCAAGTTTTCGGGTCTGCTCTTCTTTCAGAGATTTCAGCAGGGCTTTGTGGTCACTCTTGGGCGAGACCTCAAGCTGATGGTTCCTCAGAGCTTTATACTGCTTATTCTGAACCTTACAAGTATCCTGGAATTGTTTTTTGATCTGCATCTCCAATGCCTGTTTTTGTGGCAAAAACATACAATAAACAACATAAAACATGGAAGTTTAACACAGAAGAAATAATATTTACAACTAGGCACACAAACTCAATTACAGTATGTATTAATGTCAATTTTATTCAAACAAGTGTTGGCCAAATGTATATACACTTTGTGATGTATGTATGATGTATGTCAAACTGTGTTTGTTATCAGTTCTGTTGTCCTTTAGCCCTTCATTATCTCTTTCCGATCACAGAACCACTTTCCACTGGATATTTTTGGTTGACGGAATTAGACTGATCTTAGTACATTAATGAAAAATTCAAATCTTACATCTTAAATATAAAAACAAAATAAAAGAGAAAGAGAGAACATATAATGGACTTCACAAATATGGAGGACAGCTGAATTCCCAATTCACATTATAAGGGAATAGTCTTTGCAAAATGAATCTTTTGGCTTTCTACAGTACAAAATAAGTTCCTAATTTGGTTTTCCCAAAGGTACCCTTACTTTCCAGGCCTTGATCTTTGCCAGGTATCTTTCTCATTTAACCATTTTATGAAGCTGTAACATTTACCTTGAGGTTTCTGGGCTGCTGCCGGCGCTCCAGAGCGTGTTTCCTGTGCAGCTCCCTCTGGCGGCGGTTGTTGTACTCCTCCTGGTTCTCCAGCTCAGTCTGGTGCTGCAGACGGATCAGCTCCATGCGCAACCTCTGCAGGCTCTCCAGCTGCCGACGTTCCAGGTCCTGGGTGGACTCGTCCTGCCGAATCATCAAAGCGTGCTCCATCTCCTTCTGGTTTTTCTTTTTGTTCAGTTCCTGGGACACAAAGGGCAAGGGCAAGGGCTGAATCAACATTTCGAATGATTATGAACAGCCTGTGGGAGAGAATCAGGGTTTCAACTGAAAATAAAAATACTGTCAACATACTGTTTTTTTGTAATTAAAAGTATGCTGCTTTTGCACTGAAAGAGCGGACAGATGACAACAAACAGATTTCTCAACCCTTAAAAGAATCTGTAGCAGGGGTGACAACATGTGGTCCTACATCTGATTTCTTTGGTGATTTTTCGCTCTTTGCACACCAACTAAACCTGGCAATCAGCTGCTGAGTTGAATCAAGTGTGTTTGAGTAAGAAAATCAGCGAACTGTTCTGGACTCCAGCCCTTTAGGACTAGAGTTCACCACCCCGACCCACAGTCATATCACAAACATTTCTATACATTCCTATAAGAATTACAGTAAATTCAGAATATTAGTATTATAAATTTCCACAATACAGTACTACAGTAATAACATAAGGACATGAAAATATTACACAAATTATGAAAGCATTACACAGCACTAATTAAAGAACTTTATAGTATAGTATAAAGTACTGTATGGTATAGTACTATTTACACTATTCCTAATACACTGTTTTTGGTAAATTACGGCGCAGTCACAGAAAATCGGTCAGCAGCAATGGCCGCATATGAAAACATTCCATAAACAATTCAGTTTACCAATTTCTGCCATCATGTCACAGTGCTGGAACAAAGAGGATACTGATTTTCTTGCAGATGGGTATTACTGAAACTGAACGTTCCAAGTCATATAAACTTTGTAGTTCTGCATTGTTCTTACTTTCTTTTGCTAATTTTATTGACATAACTAGACATTGTCACCAGTGGAAACTAAACGTTTACTTGAACTGAACAATGTGTATTTATTGAGTCATTTCAATTTGATTTACATGATCTAACAACAGATGTCACAAAATAGCTTTGCATAATTGCAGGTCCAGCCCCATAATGAGCAAGCAGAGGGTGACAGTGGTAGGAAAAACGCCCGAAGAGCATGAGAAAGATAATGCTGAAAAGAACAAACACTCAGAGAAACTTAACTTAAACTTAACATCTGATCAATAGCAGAAAGCAGAACTATAATAAACAAATGACAACTAAAAAAAAACAAAAAAAACACAAGATTAACAGATGCTTTCGCTTCCAGCAGAAGAGAGACCTGCGTGATAACCAACGACTGACGTTAGAAGTATCTTAAAGAATTCCGGCCACAGACAATATGACTTGCCTCCCTCATTTGCTCCTGCTCTAACTCATGCTTTTTGATGAGGCTTCGTCTCTTTAGAGCACGACAACTCCTCTCGTAGACCACCCTCTGCTGGTTCAGCAGCTGTGCTTCCTCCTCGGCCTGGGAGCGTTGCACCGTCTCCTTGTGGCGGGACAAGCGCTCTTGCTTCTCCTCCTTTGGTGTACTGGAGTCCTCATTCATTTCCTGTAAAAACAGGAGTTCAAGCGAATGCCCGTTCAAGTTCAAGCTTGTTTCTTCTGTGTGTTTCTGAATGAAGCATGGAGCAAATCAACACTGTCATGTCAAAACCTCATAACTATACTTTTTTTGTTGTTGCAAAAAAATACCACCTGCTCTTTACATTCTGTGCACATTTCATGACTGACTGGTCTAAAAATATGTAGTTGATATAATCAGTTTGCTCTGTGAAAAAAAAAAGTGCTGGAACAAGTGGATCAGTCACAGTAGTGCTGCTGGAGTTTTTAAAGGACTCAGAGGCACTGCTGGATTGATAATAGTCCACCAACTAAAAATATCCAGCCAACAGCAACCTGAGCAGCGCCCTGTGGCCACTGATGAAGGACTAAAGAATGACTAACACAAACTGTGCATGAGCTATTGTCTCTGACTTTACATCTACAAGGTAGACTAATAGAATGGATAGTAAGTGAACACAGTGCTGAAAAACTCCAGCAGCACTGCTGTGTCTGATCCACCCCTACCAGCACAACACACACTAACACTCCATCATCACATCAGTGCTACCGCACTGCAGAGAATGATCCACAACCCAAATAATACCTGCTATGTGGGGGACCTGACTATAAAAGAACAGGGTGAAAGGGGGCTAACAAATTTTGCACAGAAACATATGGACTACAGTCTGCAAGCAATTGGTCCTACCTGAACATTGGCTTTTTTTCTTGTGTAATTTGTTCTATTCAACAAAAAATGCTAGTAGAGCTGGGCGATATGGCCAAAAATGTTATCACGATGAACAAAATTCATATCAGTCAATATTAACATGTATCGCAATAAATGTCACATCATTATTTCTTTCAAGTTTGAAGGCTGATTTTTGCTCCTGAGTGGTTAATTGCTGTTTTAAAATATCCTTTGTGGTCAGAACATGACAAACACTTGCCAAACAGTGGAACATTTCACTAATCTGTCTTGGGAAAGTGGGAGTTTCTGGTTAGCTTTCACTAGCTGGAAAAGCACAGCCACATTTTTTGTAATAGTCATAATTTAAGAAAGAAAACAGATTATTTTTAGCTGTCTGGTAACGAGTGCTAGGCTATCCCATTACAAATGCTAAACAAGTGGCCAATAACAGTGCTAAACTGTTTAGTTTCTAAACAACGTCAGCTTAGTACGAACAGCAAACATTAGCTGGCTTGGTAGGTCAGTGATGGATCACACCGTCTTACTGCCATCACTCTTACCACATCCATGTCAGAGTATGTCACAGTATTCAAACACAAGCTAGCAGATGTCTAGATTTCTCTATAGTAGTTTGAGGGGTGAACCGCAATATATCTAACACCAGACAAACAGAGTCCTCCTTTTAAGTACATTTAAACTGAAATCGGTGTTTTTGTGTCTTTGTTGATGTACAGTAACATCAACTTGCTGTGTTGTGCGAGTGACAGAGCGCTGCTTCAAGTTAGCCAGCTGCTAAAAACAGCTAGCCTGGAAAGATAGTGTTCTCCCACTCACCAATGGCACCTCAGTTTACTTTCGTTTAAATTAGGGCTGTAACTTGCATGAACCCACTTCTTTCTTTCACTTTCGTTGCTTGGGAATGTACTAATACTTAATGTGACTTTTTGAGCACTGTAACAGCGCTGTAGTTGTGAGGAGCAGACGTGATTTAACGCTGCTAAAGCTTATTAGGATGTTAGGAAAGAGGTGAGTTCACTTTAAGCCAGATTATGGCCTACAGCCAATGAATACCCAAAAGTCAGTATCTCAGAAAATTAGAATATTATATAAGACCAATTTAAAAAATGATTTTTAATAGGTAAATGTTGGCCTACTGAAAAGTATGTACAGTATATGCACTCAATACTTGGTTGGGGCACTTTCTGCATGAATTACCGCATCAATGCGGCATGGCATGGAGGCGATCAGCCTGTGGCACTGTTGAGGTGTTATGGAAGCCCAGGTTGCTTTGATAGCGGCCTTCAGCTCATCTGCATTGTTGGGTCTGGTGTCTCTCATCTTCCTCTTGACAATACCCCATAGATTCTCTATGGGGTTTAGGTCAGGTGAGTTTGCTGGCCAATCAAGCACAGTGATAGTGTGGTTATTAAACCAGGTTTTGGTACTTTTGGCTGTGTGGGCAGGTGCCAAGTCCTGCTGAAAAATGAAATCCGCATCTCCATAAAGCTTGTCAGCAGAGGGAAGCATGAAGTGCTCTAAAATGTCCTGGTAGACAGCTGCGCTGACTTTGGACTTGATATAACATAGTGGACCAACACCAGCAGATGACATGGCTCCCCAAACCATCACTGATTGTGGAAACTTCACACTAGACCTCAAGCAGCTTGGATTGTGTGCCTCTGCGAAATTTACTTTCATCTGAAAACAGGACTTTGGACCACTGAGCAACAGTCCAGTCCTTTTTCTCCTTGGCCGAGGTAAGACGCTTCTGACATTGTCTCTGGGTCATGAGTGGCTTGACACAAGGAATGTGACAGTTGTAGCCCATGTCCTGAATACGTCTGTGTGTGGTGGCTCTTGAAGCACTGACTCCAGCAGCAGTCCACTCCTTGTGAATCTCCCCCAAATTCTTGAATCGTCTTTTCTTGACAATCCTTTCAAGGCTGTGATTATCCCTGTTGCTTGTGCACTTTTTTCTACCACACTTTTTCCTTCCACTCAACTTTCCATTTATATGCTTGGATACAGCACTCTGTGAACAGCCAGCTTCTTTAGCAATGAACTTTTGTGGCTTACCCTCCTTGTGGAGGGTTACAATGACTGCCTTCTGGACAACTGTTAAGTCAGCAGTCTTCCCCATGATTGTGTAGCCTACTGAACCAGACTGAGGGACCATTTAAAGGCTTAGGAAACCTTTGCAGGTGTTTTGTGTTGATTAGCTGATTAGAGTGTGACACCATGAGTCTACAATATTGAACTTTTTCACAATATTCTAATTTTCTGAGATACTGACTTTTGGGTTTTCATTGGCTGTAGGCAATAATCATCAACATTAAAAGAAATAAACGCTTGAAATAGATCACTCTGTGTGTAATGAATCTATTTAATATACGAGTTTCACTTTTTGAATTGAATTACTGAAATAAATTAACTTTTAGATGATATTCTAATTTATTGAGATGCACCTGTATAACTCCACGTTTCAGACGTTGCTAAAGAATATTTGGCGACTCACCCCTCCCTCTCTAATCATGTCGAAAAACTCAGCAGTGCACCATCTCCTGGCAACAGCAGGGTAGTGTCGCTTTCCTTACAGTAGAAAACGCCACCAAGGCTGTTGCTAGAACGTGGAAGAGTGAGAATGGTCCATATAATCGAAAATTTATCTAACATTTCTTATAGTTCTATCGAGGAAAGTTATACCGCGATAAGTATCGTTATCGTTTTATTGCCCAGCCCTAAATGCTATCCTACCAAATTGTAAAATTATAACAACATACTCACAATGTAGTTAGTTATGCAAGCCAGAGTACTAATGCTAGTTAGCACAGTAATGTTAGATGTGGAATTGTACTTAAGCCAGGTCTACTTCTTATTATCTCAAGGTATGTTAACAAAGTAGTTTGCAGTTTGCTTGGACATATTGTAGGTTACAAAAGTGCCATTTGCACACCTTCGGAATTCTAAAGATTCAATCAGTGTAGACATTGTTACATTTTTTATTTGAACATAGTGTGTAACTGCTTGTGGGGAACAAAATCGCACAGCCACACCAGTACTTTCTGGATCAAGACGTTCACCAGCCTCTTACACTCCTCCCCGCCCCACCATTTGCCTTTAGTGAAGGGGAGGTTTTTTCATAAAAAGTTCAACTGCAGGACTCCTTTAGTGGCTAAGTCGGGTGGACATTACCAAGAACTGTTAAAAACATTGTTTTGAGCAGCTTTAACTACATCTTTAACTACATTTTACACCATACAAGTATATGAAAATGCTGATTTCTACAATGTCAAATTGTTCTTTTCTTTCTCACTTATATGGTGCTAGTTAAATGTTTGTGAAGGTCCCCTTAATATAAGGAAGAGTCATATTAATTTTGCAGAGTACTTGGTTTCTCTTTATATTGTAGCTGATGGTTGCTTAATTTCAGGAAGGACCCAACACACTTTCATTGCCCATGTGTACTGCACCCACCTCTTTCATCCTCTCTCTGCACAACCTGTACTGCTTCTTCTGTGTGTCCAAGAAGGTGGTCAGTTCCTTCTTCTGTTGGACCAAGATTTGTTGCTGGATTCTCTTCTCCTCTGCGGCTGATGCCTTCATCTGCGGTGGGGTATAATGTCTGATTATTCAAAATTGACTTTAATTGGGTTAAGGTTTCACATCATATTACACTGTAGTCATTAGTTGTTACACTGTAAATGAATTGTCAATGCAGAATATACCCTGCATTTTTCAAAATATAAAATAGTTACAGCTAAATAACTAAAAAATGTAATATGAATAGTAGTATTAAACAGTCTTTATATCTATTTTAATGGTACTTTCAGGGCACTAGTTGCCATAGAAGTAGTAGAATTTAATTTGGCTGCCTGAATGTTTGACAAATTGTTATCCATGAGTCAAACCTCATGAACAATGTAACTTTGTGTTGAAGATTGCTAACTCACTGCTCTACCTAAACCAGGACTTTTTCTACCTCCTTCTCCATCTGGATAGTCTGTTTCTTGGCCAGACGCTCCAGTTCAATGTAGGTGTTGTTGGCCTGGGTCTCCACTTCCTTCTGCAGCCGGAGCTTATGCTCATCCATCTCGGCCTTCAGCCTGTTCTCCAAGGCAATCAGCTGCTTCTGGTGCTGCCGCCGCATGCGCTTGTACCCTGACATCTGCTCTCGCCACACAGAGTCCTGCTCATGCTCCTGGATCTCCTCACTGACCTGCAGGACACCACCAAGCAAAACATATAATTTATTTACAAGTACAGCAATGTCAGAAAGTTACATTACTCACATAGTCTATTAGCTTCTATTATTTTGTCTAGTGTGAATAAGCAGTTATTTGCCAACTTACTAGGTGACTGTAGTAATAGGTACAAGGTTAATGTTAACACATCATTTGCTATTAACACATTTATTTACATGTGTAGCAATATCATACAAGTGCAGCAATATCATAAAGTTATATAGAGCCATCGTCTGTTAACTATGCTGCCCATTGTAACTATAGGTGTAGTACTTTTTGGTAGTCTGCAAACTAATAGCACCAAATCATTAATCAGTGGTTGCTGAAATATTCACTTTAAAAATGTATGACTGTAGCAGTCCACATCCAGAACCTGTGCATGGAGTGAAGAATTATTTTTTTTATACGGCCCCAAAAACTGCCATACTTACGTTTCTTGTGTTATGAAACAAAATTTCAAATTCTGTGGCATTTATTTTAAACAAAGCATTTCAAGACTGTAATTAAGTTTCTGGCAAACATTCTTTTAAAAGGGAAGCTTGTGCTTCAGATTGTTATTGTTTGAGCAGTTTCTTCGCAGACTTCTGCAGGTTTGCATCCAAAATCCCAGAACTGGGCACAAGTTTACCCCCATTACTGTAAGAAAAACAACCCCAGACTTTGACTTTGACAATTCCATTTCTGTGCTTTGCAGTACCCCTAGTGCAATCTGGTTGAAAGTCTTCCCCAGGCTTTCTCCACACAAATAAATCTACCATCGGTTTGATGTTGTGCAAAAAGTTTTTCTTTTCTCTGAAACAGATATCATTTTGTTAAACTTTTAATCAAGTAACCTAAAGAACCTCACTAAAGTTCATCAATGGTTAAATGACTATTGTCCAAATACATCTGGGGGCAACTCTATGTTCTACTATGATGGGCAGGAGAATCCAGTATGAAAAGAAATGCTCATTAACTTAAACATTATGGCCATAGCTCATGGTCCAGTATCCTGGCTTCAGTTCCTGAAGTACATGGTCAGTGTGAATTTAAACTGTTTTTAAGGCCAGGAGCAAAAGCATTGTGAAAATATTTGAACAGCATACAGCATGTCAAGCTAATTCATATAGGCATGAGCAACACACACACACAAACACACACACAGTGTAGAGTAAAAGTAATGCCATCTAAACCATGTGAAAGGAAGGTACATAATATACACTTTCCTGTTGTATATCAACACCACTGCTAATGCGATAATGCTGCAAATGCATGAATGCCTCAAATCTTTTCATTACAGAAAAAACTAAGCAACTGCTGACAATAAATCAACCTTACAATATTAATGACAACTATGAAAAACTGAATATTAATGTCTTTTCTCAATGATTACCCATTCTCCAAACAAGCGTAGCCCTGTAAGGCAAAAAAAAATAATTCAACTGACATATACTATACTTCAGTCCGGCAAAGATAAATAAATAAATAAATAAAAGAAAAGAAAAAAGACATTACATCATGCAGGAGGAAAAGAAAAGAAAGGAAAGCCACTCAGTCACAGTGAACAGAGTGGGGGAAAGGGGGTGTAAGAAATATGGCCACACATCTTCAAGATATGTTGATTTACACTGTGAGAGAAGAAAATGAGAGGTAGAGAAAGAGACGAGGTGATGGTGGTGGTGGAGCGGGCGGGAGGGGGTTATTAACAGGATGTGGTTGCCATGGCTACGGACGGGGGGGGGTGAGAGAATGGCCATGACAGGCCTGTATTTCTCATGCAGAAAGGGCGAGAGAGGGAGAAGGAGAAAGAAAAGACAGGACAGGAGAGGGCGAGAGACACAGAGAGAGAAAATGCCCCTACCAAAGATGCCGATGTGATAGTGGCAAAGCGTTGGCGGATGCTGCTCTTGCTCTAGCGGTGGTGAGCCCGGCTAAGGGAAGGAGATGTAGGCCGCGGCTCTGGCCTGGCGTGCCTCTCTCCAGCCTCATCCCTCACGCGAGCATTGCTTTTTCCGCGAGGGGGGTAACGAAAAAAAGCGAGGTGGTTGTGGAGAGAGTGGTGGTGCTAGTGGTGGTAGTAACTTAGTAGTACTGAGGATTGGGAGTTGGAGGGAGAGGTTAGCCTAGCGCCCCGTTGATACTGATGCTAATGCTGCTGATATCATCTCCCGGTTCCCTTCGCAGTTCGCAGCCTGAACGCATCCTCTCTCGCCCCCACCGCGGATCTCGCCTGGTGACGGGACTGGAGCGGCGAGGGCCAGCGGGAAAAGGCGAAAGTCTGGCTTCTATCTCCACAAGCGGCGGTGTTTCCTCAGACGGTATTACTGTTTTTTTTTTTTCTTTCCCCCCATCCGTATTCCGACAAAATCCCGCCTCCTACACTGGGATTCGCTAGTACTGACCAGCCTTCTGCGCCTGGATTGGGTAGTAGTGTCCGGCCTCCTATACTAGGATTGGCAAGCAGTGTCTTGCGTCTGGTACTAGGATTGGCAAGCAGTTCATACTCACTTGCCTGTTAACCAATTCCAGCTCAGGACGCTGGTCATTACTCACCACTCCAAGCGCAGGAGGCAGGGTATTCCCAGCCAATCGTGACGCAGGAGGCAAGATGGCCTAATACCAACCAATCCCAGCGCAGGACGTTGGCCACTGCGGACAACTCACAGTGCGGGAGGCTGGTCAATATTAGCCAATTCTGGTGCGGAAGGCTAGTCACTGGTCGCCAATCCCAGGGTAAGGGGAGGTGTGTGTGTGTGTGTGTGTGTGTGTGTGTGTGTGTGTGTGTGTGTGTGTGTGTGTGTGTGTGTGTGTGTATCCAGTGGGAAAGGGCGAATTATGCAACAACCAGCAGAGGAAGACGTGGTACTGCCGAGGGGGGCGGTGGGGGGCGTTGTTGGGGGGGTTCATTCTGCTGCTCTGAGTCTCTTAAGTCTAAACTTGACATGAGTACAAACATTTAACGTGGAAAGGGGATTTCCGCTGAATTTTTAAAAATGTCTGCATGATTAGAAAATAAGATGCAAACACATACATTTCAAGAACCAGACGTCCTAAGAGTATAATGCCTCTAAAATCTACCTCACCAAAGTTGTTACACCAAATATCCTGGAGCCATTGGTTTATGATCATTTTGAGATTTTTGAATTTGAGAATTTATTTTTTAAAATAATAGGTATATGAAGAGGTATATGCAGAGTGTAGTACTCAAACATATGACAGATTTATCAGTGTTACCATTATCAACTTTACATATAAAAACTCAGAAGACACGTAGGTTTTTGATAATTTGCTACTGTAAATAAAATGTCTATATTTTTGTTGTAGACATCACAACCCCTGGTACCTATTAGTAACACTGTAAAGAAATCTGACATAAGTTTCTCTACAATATACCATTTTACATCAAATCACTTACATCTCAATGACTGAATTATGCAGAAACAAAAATCACCCAGGTTCTGGAAAAAATTTTCTCTTTCTAGCACTCTCTGTGTTTGCTTTTACATTGAACTATCAATAGTTTGCAACTTTCTGTAGCCCAAACGTAAGCAAATGCAAATAATATGGCCTGACCGACCTACTCTGTTCTAGACACCTCTTTTCATGGTTAGGCCAACTAATTTCAGCTTGATCCAAGTATCCTATATTTTGAACATTTTATGTACTTAATGAATTCACATACATTCTCCAGCTTTTATGTGGCAATGCAGTCACTGATGCATACTGACCTGTAGTCTTGCTCCACGTAAGTTTCCAAAATTCAAGCACATGTCTGAGGCTTGCTGTCACCTATGTTTCATCAATTAGCATTTAACTCTGCATGTACTTTTGCTCTTCAGAACACGCTCCATTTTAGCAATGCACAGTGTGGTCACACAAGTGGCATAGGCAGAAATAAATTTTTGAGTAGGCCTGTAAAAAAGTGAGTAGGCTAACTTCTACAATTCCCAAATGCGCCACAATGCCGCAACATCTCCCTACCCATTCCAGTGCTTCTGATCTGTGGTGAAACAAAACAATGACAAGGAAACCGAATATAGGATTCACATAAACACAGCCAACACTTTATTTCACTAACCAACAGCACCCTTCCCTGTAAAACACAGGCACAACATCTGCCCAATGAAGACAACATAATTGTGTTAACTTCCTGAGGTCATGTTTTGCATAGCTTTTTAAATTCGTCTTTAAAAACACCTGCATAAAACATGATATCCATATGTTTCATGTCAAAATACTCCATAATCTTCATCACTACTTTCCAAAACCGCTACGGCAATTTCAGTGACTGTAAACTTTTTGCTTGCCATTCAACATATATCTCAAATGTTGACTGAATATGACTGACTGAAAAATATGAAGGGTTTCGCATGTGATAGATAAGTCCTTAGTAATTTCCTGAGTGACCACTGGCCAGTTTCACACAAAATGTAGACATGGTGATGTTGCATGGATTGAGACAATGCCTCCTCTGTGTGGTCCCCCCGCAGTCTTGTACAGCCCCATAAGCTTATATGCCAGCCTGTTACAGTGGAGCACTACTTTGTACCAATGGTGGGGGGGGCAGCACTCTATACACAACTTCTCCTGACCTCTAAAAGATCTGACATGGGCCCACGCAATGACTGTCCAATTTAGGGGACTGGCCTTTCTTTCTTTTTAGGCTGCAGACCCCATAGAAGCTCCCCTATTGTAAAGTGCCATCTAAGTTTGTGGAGGTTGTAGTTCTTTTTTGTTGCATGCCAGAACTCAGCAGCTGCTTCCTAGCATATGCATGTGCTGAGTCTATGTGGTCCTGCTGATTCTGACAGGGTGTCCAAAAGGCAGTTCAGTGGGGGTCCTGATTTCCCTCCCCAGCATTACTAGGGCTGGGGTGCGAGGTTGAATCTTGGACTGTGGAGCGGCATGCAATAAGAGGTCAGCCCTAAAAAGCTTTTCAATTATTTCATTATTACATCACCACAGGAGATGCCCAGTGGCTTTCTGATGGGTCTATGGTACCTGTGCACTGTATCTTTTCCAAAACCTGTTCTGCAGCATCCTGTGGACTTAGGGGAAGGCCTGGCCACTGCTGTATAGGCGTAGTATGGCCTGTATCAATGTTGTGCTGCACTAGGTGAGTCTGCTCTAGTTCCTCCTCATCAAATGCAAAGCAGTCCTGAAACTCTACCAAGACCTGACACAGCATCTCTTGCTGCTATTCGTCCATTTCACAGGCACTCTTTTGCTACATTTCCCTCATGGCTGCCATTCTGCTCTTCTCTCTGCTTGGTGAAGCCTGGTTCAATGGTACATGGGATGCTGGGTTGTGTTCCAGGGTGGTGACATCTCTTCTGGATGAAGGAACGAGCACTTTGCTGACCACCATATTTCCCCCATGGCTGCCATTCTGCTCTTCTCTCTGCTTGGTGAAGCCTTGTTCATTGGTACATGGGATGCTGGACTGTGTTCCAGGGAGGTGACATCTCTTCTGGGTGAAGGAATGAGCACTTTGCTGACCACCATGTTTGCCAAGTCATGTTGGGGGCTGGAAGCAGCATCTGGTGAGGACGCCATGGAGGACATAGGTTTAACGCCTAATTGTGCTATTGACCGCTGCAGGTCAGCAGTGTGGAAATACCCTGTGTATGGGAAAGGGACATCACACCCACCCAGCATGCCATAGCTCTTCAGGACAGTGTACGCTTTCTCAGGGCCAGGGGAATGGGCTATCAGCTGGTCACCTGTGCTTCACGGTGGTTTGCTGCTTTCTTTCACTGTCTTTGGGAGAGCATATTCTTTTTACAAGCTTTTCAGCATGGTTCTTTGCAGCATCTTCTCGTTGTCTGCCAGCCTTGCCTCCCTCTGCTGCCTGCAAGTTCTCCTGGTGCCACTGCACCCTGCCAGAGCTTTGCATAGGGCATCAGGTAGTTTCATTATCCTCCGTTAAAGCTCAACGAGGCACTCTCTAGGTTCAATTGGCATCCATGATGCAACTGGCACCCAAACATCCAGGCCCAGAATGCATGTCAGCTTGCACCTCAGCTATCCAGACTAAACAGTGCATATTCTTGCCCCTGACTGATTAGTCTGCATTAGCCATCCCTTTCCTTCATGAGCGCTAGCTTATTGGTCACAATGTAGAGATGGATTGCCATGTCTCCAACCTTGAACCCTGCATGTACCATCTCTGGCTGGGCTACCATGACTGTCGACCACATGTCTACCAGTGCAGTGAATCTTCAGTGTTGATGGAAACGTGGCAACAGTCTGATGTGGACATCCGCCCTACCACGGCCACTGTCTGTTTGCTGCCTGTGCTGCTCTGTTTGGCTGGGACAGTATTAATCTGGGACATGTAGGACATGGGTGGCATGTTTCCTGCTGACTTTACCCAAAAGAGAAGTTAAAGATAAGCCTTAGTCAGATGCCTCACTGGCTGTGTGGCAGTGGATATGGCCAAACTTCAGATATGTTCAGTCATCTCCTCCACCCTTGCCGGTTTTGGTGACACACAGCTCTGAGTGCAGGACTGGTAACATCCATGCACCATGCAGCTGCTGACAACATCATTTCTCTCTCCAGTGCCAACTTCAGGGCCTCCGGCATTTTGTGTGGGTGGGCCAGCCATGTGTGGACATGCTGCTCATTTGGATACAGCGCCGTAATGAACTGGTCTTGGGCTAGCTTGCTCTGTACAGGAGTTAAGCCTAAACCCATCTAGCTAAAGTTTTATGTTGTTAGCTAGGGCTCTTCAGGGTCTTCAGTGGTTACACAGCTCAGACCAGAGCATCAGAAGTTTGATGTAGGTGTTTGGATTGCCTTTTAACATGGATTACTTTCACTTCTGATGCAAATTTAGACTTTAATTCTCAAGAAGTGTATCTGCCAATTGTTTTTCGCTAGAGATCAAGCAATGCCAGAAAGAACAAAGTAATGAAGGTTTTGCTTTTTAGTTTTGCCACTTTTTTTGCATAAAAAGCAAAAATGCATTTCATATTATTCATATTAAAGTCATCCTGAAAGCAAAATGAACCTTTTTTACCTTGTAACTTTATGCCCCTAGTCAGATTAAACATTATTCATTAAGTCATATTATTTAAAGGACGTTTTACTGGTCTCTAAAAAGCTAAGTTTAGATTTCCCTACCGTGCACCAGTAGGTGGGAAAAAATAATATTAACCGATAATATCATGATTCACCACCAACCTCCTCTAACCTCACCTATCATAGAGTTAAACATTTAGCTAGCTCAGAGAATCATGTTTCACACAGAAATACACCATAATATGGAACAAAATTGCATTCTAATTTATTCCTCTCTATACTAAGCCTCTTAGCATGCAGGCTGCTGTTATTTG